GTGTGCCGTCACAAGGTGAAAGTGTAACGTAAAATTTTACATATTCTATTAATTTCAAGTTTTATTTATATATTTTTATCACAATTGCTGTGTTTTTTATGCTTGTATTTCATTCTCTGCCGCAGCACTGATGAAATAAAATGATGTTTGTTTATTATTTATTACAAGCCACGCATTTTTATGTGTTCTAAGAAATGAAATGTAAAATAAATTTGCTCATAGGTGATGATGTCTGTTTAATAATAATAATAATAATAAGTTGACAAAACTGCGTCAAACAGCTGGTTAGATCGGGGATGCCTCTTTGGGGAGACGGAAGGATTCATGATTGCCATACAGGATCAGGTCATAAATACTAAAAACTACAGAAAACACATACTCAAAGATACAACACTCACAAATGACACATGCCGAAAGTGTCACATCATGCCAGAAACTATACAACACATTACATCTGGGTGCAAGCTCTTGGCACAGACAGATTACTTACACAGACACAATCAAGTAGCAAATATAATACACCAAGAGCTTGCAAACAAACACAAATTATTAGACATCCACGAACCATACTACAAGTATATTCCACAGACAGTATTGGAAAATAACACGCACAAACTGTACTACGACAGAGCCATAATCACAGATAAAACAATTTACCACAACAGACCAGACATCACACTCATTGACAAACACAATAAAATCACATACATTATAGACATAGCCATTCCAAACACTCACAATGTACAAAACACATGCACTGAAAAAATTAGCAAGTACACAGAACTCGCCCAGGAAATAAGGCATCTGTGGAGGATGGATAGGGTGCTTATTGTACCTGTTGTTCTCTCCTGTACAGGTGTGATACCACACACACTACACAAAAGCCTGGAAACTTTAGAATTGAGTAGAAATACATACATAACACTACAGAAGGCCACTATATTGAATACATGCCACATTGTTAGGAAATTCCTGAATGCAGACACTGACACACTTATTTAATTTTAGTTTTGTTTTGGTTGCTATGCCTTGACTCTGGTCCGGCATAGTACACAGCCACCGGTGTGAACCGAGTAAATCCCACTAAACCCAACATAATAATAATAGGTTCGTGGCATTATGTAATTCTATTAATAGTATCATAGTTTTTGAGGAAAATAACATTTTGGTGTGCCTTGTTGAGTCATAGATGTGCCGCAAGTAGAAATAGGCTGCGGAACACTGCCCTAGAGGCCTAGAGCATGGTTTTCATCGTGGACTACCAGTGGTTAATGAACATGCGCTAGGTGGTCCAAAGGCTAATCTAGTCATTTTTCTAAAATGCAATTTTATATTGTTTAATCAAAGAAAAGAATATTTTCAAGCATCACAGGTTACTGAATAGATCACGTTAGGTTACGGAATAGACAATATTTTGGCATATAAATTCTCATTATCTAAGGTGATGGTTACAGAGTAGGCTTAATGGGCTGCGGTTCATCTGTGATTCGGTTTAAGTGGTCTTCGGATCGATAAGTTGGAAAAACACTGCCTTAGAGCATTCCATACGTGTTCTATTAGATTTAAATTACGTTTGCAGAACTGCTGCCCTTTCCATTTGACAAATATCTTCACTGTCAATAAAGTTATTTACAAGTGACGACCAATATGCGTGATATTATCATCCATGAAAATGAAATCTGCACTCAGCTAAGACCGTCCAGGAAGTTGGTGATTTTTTCCCGAGCCCTTAGCGATTTCAGCTCCAATAAATTAATGTTATTTTTACAAACAAAACTAAAATATATTAAGACTGCCTTTAATTAATAAAGCAACATACTACATATATCGTTTGTTCAACATAAAATACTGGCAAGAGAGGCCTACTAAGGCGAAGAGGAGGCCCTCGTCACTCTCGGGTTTCGTACAAACCCTCGGAGGCCCTACTCATAATATCTCTTAATAGTCTCATAAGGGGTTCGAAAACATCGTCTCTGTAGCTTCTTCAATAATGGCACCTCTTGCAAAAACGAAGATTAGTGCGGCGATTAAGCATAATGCCCCCACCAGAATATGATACCACTACTTACAAACTCTCTTTCCCACTCGGATCTCTCAGAGCTAATGCCTTAATCTTCTCGGCCATCTGGCCGTCTCTCTTGCATAACCATGGGCATAGATTACATTTGTAGTCATGCCAATGAAAAAATTATAGGCTACATTATTTAGTAAAAATTATAAATGATTAAACTTATGAAAAACAATGTTAGATTAGGGCTTTCTGTAAGTATACAGTATCATAAATGAAAATAAATATATGGGCAATTTCAATCAGTGATTCCACCATATGCATCCAATATGATATATTATTTTGAATATAACTTTTCTTTTTTTTACTCAAAGAACTGTTAAAGTTTTCTTCCAAAAATTTTTTACCTTGACCCAAGTTTCAGGTTTGTTCTTTGACTTCAAAACTGTTACTATAATTATTTGTTTGCAAATGGCATGCTCAGCTGATACTGGTTCCAAGTGCTATGCCGGAGTAAAGTCAAGGCGTAGCTACCCAAATAAGTGTTACATTAAGTTTCTGTGTTATTGATATACATGTGTCAACATCTAGAAACTTCCTAATAATGTGACATCTATTCAATATTACAGATTTTTGTAGTGCCATGTATATGTTTTTATTAATTAAGGTTAAATATTTCTACACTTTTGTTTATTGTATGTGTTATAACACCAGAAGAGAGGACAACAGGTACTGTACAATAAATACCTTATCCATCCTCCACATACGTTTTATTTCTAGAGCAAGTGAAGTGTACCTGTTGATGTTTTCGGTGTGAGCATTTTTTAATGTTATTATTATTATTATTATTATTATTTAAAAACATTTTTAACATTTTGACGGGTTTTCTGTGTCTCATTTCAATTAACAACAAAGTGAAGGACATATTTGAATGTTATAAGATGCTTCTGTTGCAATTCGATAAGCCCATTGTCAAATATGAAAAAAATTAAATTACTGTAAAAACTATATTCCTTGACTACAACTTCATACTGTATACGAATAGTAGGCCTATATTATTTATATTAAATATAAATCATAATACAAAAATGTCATTATAGGCACATAAAAAACGCAATCACTTTTACTCTCATAAATTTAAAAGTTGCAAATTACTGCAGTCGTAAAATTTTTTATAATCAATTGTTTTTATCACATTTATTTTTTTATCATCATCATTCCCCCAAAACATTCTAGCAACGAGTTGTGTGACTTTCCTGGCGAAAAAATATGTTTTATGTTTAAGAAACACTTTAGCAAAGTTTAAAATTGTGTCTGTTATGAAATTTTATTTATAAATAATTTTTATATAACAATATAATTATAATAAAAACTTTTTGAAAAGAAATCCCGAAACAAATACATTTATTTTTTGGTAAATAAAAATTTTTACAAGTAAAAAAAATTCATAACGTGAAAGCTTTTTGAGATATGGCTCCCTCCTTAACACCAACGGAACTGAAACAGGAACAGATCTGATGTTCCTGAAAATTTCTAGAAACATTTTTCCCTAATACGCAAATCTCCCTGAAATTTCAGAAATTTTCATAGGAGTTATTAAGTTACAAAGTTGATAAAAAGAAATATATCGTGCCATCCACTCACCCAAATACATACACACAAACATCCATATATACAGGAAAAAATAAAAATAAAAATAAATTAATTTTTTGCATTTCTGTATGTTTCAAGGTCCAGAGTCTAGACTAAACGTAAAAATCTTGGGGATAATTTGTGACCGCTGGACATACTTCCCTTCTGTTATGCAACAAGCCGAAAAAGTAAAATAATTAATGGCCCAAAAATGAAATCTTGCACAGAGCAAATGAAAAGCTACTTACGAACCTTAGATCTTACCAAATATTGATTCATACTTTGTCAGACATGCACTAAACCATGATGCAAATTTTCGTCTTCCCAGTCGTCCCATCGGTGGGGGCAATTGTAATCGCAACATCTAATCAAAATAAGGCAACAATGTCAATCATGAAGTTCTAGCACATGAAAAAAATGTGTGCTATTATCTTTAGTACATTCTGAAATATCAAGTGGTATTCCAGAAGTCTACTATGACAGGTATATGCTTCACTGGACAACACGAATGCTATGCGGGAGTGGTTGAATGCAGTGGCCCGTTATATTGTGGGAAAAACGGCAATTGCCTGGGGAAACCAATCTTTTATACGAAAATATTCCCCGAAGAAGTGTCTGAAGTTAACACTGTACATGGGGCTCCTTAATTCAAATTCGCTTGGGCTCCATGAAGCTATAACGCACCACTTGTTAAATGTGTGATTAAGTGTAAGTTAGTAGTGATTGGTGACTATTTTAGTGGTTTTATTTAACGTCATTTGATATTTTCTATTAAAGTGATCATTGTCATATCCACATCAGTCCTAACTTCAATCTATACTCAAATTCAATCACACTGCATTGCATTTGTGTTATGCAGTGATGTATTGTTACCCTCTTACGTGTTGTGCAGTGAAGCATTTACCTATCATACTTGATAACCTGTTCTGGCATCATACTTGATCATTCGAAATTCACTAAAAGATATGTATTTTTTCATATACTACATAATTGATAATGTTACCCATTGAAAATACATCAAGGATGCTTGCACTAAAATTACAACAGCCCTCTTTGATAGAAGGGCTGCAGGATGGCAATTAGCATCATTGTTTAGCAGACAATCACTCCTTGAATTCAAAAACTAATAAACCTCTTCCTGATGCCTATTAGTTTTTGAAATAATTGACTGGGGAGAAACTTTTGTATTACCTTGTATATATTAAATTTATGAATATTATTTTATCATTTAATGTAACTTTTACCTGAATCTGCTTAATTTATTAATAATGCAAATTAAAGATTTATATATATATAGTATGAAAATATATAATATATATTTGTTTATGATATACTAAATAAAGAATAAAACATCTACACATTACAGGATCTCAGCCATTTTGGCTGCTGCTCAATTTACTTTATTTTGGTCCTTTTTATACGATTACACATTTCTAGTGGCAACGGTGAGGCTGCCAAGTATCAATGGTCTACAACGTTCAACTCGACGTCTACATACAGTATTGTTCTATGGAGTTTTTGTTTTTTATTGCTGTGATTTTTTCCCATTCTCAATTACAGAATAGGGAGTTCAAGTATATCTACTTTCAGTCCACTGCCTACCAGGGCTAGGCACACATCAAAGCTACTAACATCATCCCTCAAGACATAACCATGTCCTGCACACTGGGATATATTTTTACAAAGTTTTTAGCTTTGTGCTATAAATAAAAAGATCATCTACAGGAACTTTTCTAAGACTAGATTTGTGTTATAATGAGGGAGCCGTTTCTACAATTTTTTTTTTCTTTTTCATGTTTAAATGTGTCAACAAATCACTACTTTCCTATAGTTATTTTCCCTCATGTTTTTAATGAGAGTTTCTATTATGAACTGTGACCTTAACACAAAGCTCTTTAAAGACTGATTCTTCTCTGGACACAAAACATTGCCCGTTGTACAGATTAGGTGGCCACTAGGGCTAGTTGCAAGCTACAAAAATACCATTATTTCCAACAATTTTTCTACAACACAGACAAATTACATCAATGTGAAGTACACAAGAAACATACGGCATAGCTTGGTCTACTCCACAATATTTCAATTAAGTAGTCAACAAGAACCGGAAAGGTTTCTACCAACATCAGGCACCACTTGTTCATTCGTTCTCATTAATATAACTGTTGCTGTAACTATTCTTGATTTAATGATTTTTTGACAAACAGTTTTCAGAACCAATTATTAAAAATGACTGTTTAAGCTTTTTTTTATCCTTTCTTTCAAGCTTTATGGTACAATTTTTGTCACCATATACATCAAAACAGTTTTTTTCAATAATGTATATATAATATCAATGTCTGAAATGAAATCAGTTGTTACAAAAGACGGTGAGTCACATTTTGTGGTAATCAAAAGAACTTTTTAAAATACTTCGAGTTAAAAAATTATCCGGTAATGGATTCGCTGTTATTTTCGAACGTGGTAGCAATTCACGTTCTAATTAATTATAGCACTGTACACAGCTTAAAACTTTGAAATCCAAAAAATTTAACAAAAAAACTATATTTTGAATTATGCCTTATAGCAAATAGATTAACAAAGCTTGTATCTGTATACAATTTGTATACAAATATATTATATATATATTTATATATATTTATACTAAAAACAACTATATCCAAATTGCTCCCATGTCTATTTACTGTCATTATTTAACTGATTGATATGTGTGTTCTACACTATTGTATTTTGTCTCTACAACAAGATTCTAAGTGCACAGAGCTTGCTGAGAATGAATAAACTTATTATATATAATAATCATATTAGGCAAACACAAATACACTAAACTGCACTATGTGCAGAGTAACAGCATGCTCACTAAAACAACACTTTGTGCGCTTACAAATTAAAATCTATCATAACATTAGACAGCTCAAATTTGAAGTTTTCTCAGAAAACAAAATATTTAATTTCTGCATTAAAATGCAGTGTGCTCCTTAAAAATATTCTATTAAATCAAAAAGCTTTAGTAGAGAACAAAACACATTATTTTTTCTTTTTTGGTTGCAAAAGTTATCTTACATATTTTGTAGCTTAGAACAACACAATAGACGAACTTGGCTTGACAGTAACTGTGTCACAACAGGATGTTATTTGGTTCACTCATACTTGCAAAATACTATGAACAAAAGATGTGGCACCAGGAATGCTTATTTTTAATTTTCTACAATAGTGAAAGTGTGTTATATATGTTATGTGTGTATATTTATATATGTATGCATGTATGTTTTGTATGTATGTTATGTTCTTATAGAACATGCTGTTTAATACAAATTATATATCTACTGCAGAGCAACCTTGCTCTCAAAAGAGTTCACCAACTTTTATCACATCACTAAAACCAGTGCAATGGAAGTGTTCTCAGAGTGCAACTCTATATTATTAGGAAGTGACTTGGACAGCCATTGCTTGTTCATTAAGTCCTGCACTTTGAATGCAGTGGCAACAGATGGCAGGAACATTACAGTGTCCCCTTGGAGCTGAAAGAGGTGTAAGCTCTTGAGGTGATGTATAAGGAACCACACAGGAGAGAGAGAGACAGGTCACTTGTGATGAGGTATAGCAACAGCGAGGTATCATTATGGGTTGTTGTTATTTTTGGCCGGAGAAGACTTCTGCTTGAAGCTGCAGCTCTAAGAACATTGATGGGAATTTCAAACTTGGTTTTTGTTAAAATTGTCCTTGACAGGGCCACATAATACAGACATGTACAAGCCATCTTATAGAGGCTATGATTAAATTAGCAGATTCTATCTGACCTATGGACAGACTGCTGCTGGTGGCTCGGATGCCACAGATGAAGAAAGGGAGAGATCTTCAGCTTCTTCTTCTTCTTCTTCCATATCTTCAGACATATCGTCTTGGCTAGTTGTAGTGACTCCCACAGGTTCATCTGATTCTGGCTCTTGTTTTATTATTACAGTATTATTGTTATGGCTATAAAAAAAATTAATCAATTACTATGATTAAAGTTAATTCCTAAATGAAAAAAAGAAAATTGCAAATTAAATTATTTTAATTATTAAAAAACAGGAATAAAGAAACCATCTCTGTAGATATAAACACACATAAAAACCTTTACTTGACCAGTAAAAATATATTTAATGAAAACAACAAACGTTTTCGACTGCCTTCCTCAGTCTTCCTCAGGTTTTAAATTCTGATATTCGAAAATCGTTGTGCTTAAATATTTAAACATTTTGGAACATATACATCTTTGCGAATAAAATTCATTACGCGCATGCGTATTAATCATTACGTACGTGAACCCANATTAATCTGATATCTAATATCATATTAAGATATAAAATACATAAATTCAAACAATATTAGGCTTTTTATGGGACAATCTAGTATGATGGGACAAGATGTATCTAGGACAGACCATTTCCAACAAATTTCTGGGTTTTTCAACAGCCTTGATTCTATCCAAAATCCTCAAGAGCAGTAAGTTGATAACTTAACCTCAGTCATCTGCCCATTAGTTTAATTATCTACTTTTTTAAATTTAATTTTCATTTGAAAGGGCACTTATTTCAGTGACTTTAAAGCATCCCTAAACAACAGTCCCATTAAAATTCCACAAACACAGATATCCATGCCAAAGTTGAATTCAATTCCGTGATCTAGCAAAGTCAAAATAACACCTTAGCACATTCATCTACCAAATCAGCACTTATAAATTCTTTAACAGTATATTGTAGATATAATAACTTTATAATCATATAATATTAAACATTTTTTCCCAAATAACTATATTATACATAAAATAAAATCAAATATATTTATTATGTAGTATATATTATATCACAGTACACTTCCATTTCTGATGATATTATCTGTGATTACAGATATTGTTATCAAAATTAGCATATCAAAAGTTTTATAAGTAGATTTTAACTTAACTACTGTATAATCAAATCCTATCTATAATAATCATTTTTTAAGATAAATATACATTTTCAAGCTTATTTCTATGCTTACAGTCTCACCATGTGGTGAATAGCATGCAATCAATAACAGTTATCATTATCATTCTTAACCAATGCATTAAACATTAACTGTTTAATTACTTGTTCACAATACAGAAGTATTTCTTATTTATGCACAAAGACTTTCAGAGGAAGCAAAAGAAGCACATTTCCCTCAGGCTGCAAGGAAGTAGGGTTGTCTATATAATGCCAATAAATAAAAAAACAGTATTTGAAAAATATTTACAAACTAAATTTTATATTTTATAAAAATACTAGGAAAATTATATAAGTATATTCATTTCATATTTTTCCTTTTTTTATTTACATTTTTAGTTTAATATAATAATTTAATTTGCAGTAAGGTCCCCAGTTTTGCTCCATGTCCCTGTTACCCTCTGGGCAGCCTTAGTTAAAAAAAACTGTAGCAGGAAAGCAATACTGAATGAATTAAATATTAATTAATAATAAATCTTCAATTTATGTATTATTTAATTGTTTTAACATGTGCATTTAAAGTGAGAATCAATAAAACCAGAATTTCCACTAGTTGTAGTTTTAATTATTTACTCTGCTTATTGTTTTCAACACAGACAAGTCCCAAAGTGATTACAATAAAGCAGATTTTATTATATATGAAATAAATTTGGTTTTAGGACATGTTGTTTTATAATTTAATTAATGAAAAGTGAAGATCCAAGTTTTGTCTAAAAGATTAGGAGGATTGCATCATGAAATGTATTAATATTTATTTAACTTGTCACTTAATGTTATCAAAAGAAAAAAATTTTTGTTAAGAAAAAAATGCATTTAAATTAGTAATTCAATTAATTAAACTTGTTTATTGTTTTCAAAATTCAAACATTATAAAAGCAACAAGGATAATGTTATTTAAATACCATTTTCTGGTGTTAAAATGTAAATAATGAGACAATAAAATAAACTATTCAATACACAGTTTAAATATTTTGTTTATTGCATAATTAATTTCTTCGAGATCATAAACAGAAAAGATTCATTTCACTGTTTCGTTGTTTACTTTTTAATACTACAAGACATCATATTTAAAGATCAAAATTTTATATCTTGTAAAATTGCAAGATCTCCTTGTAACTCTAAAATGTTGAGTACAATTTCATTGTATTTCAATACAATAAAATAATAATAATAATAATAATTTTTTTTCAATTTTTAGTTGTCAGGATTACAGTTGTTTTAATTTGCTTATGCAGTAGCAAATTAAGCAAATTAAACAACTGTAATCCTCCAAAATTATCATTTACATATTTTTATTTCCATACTGAAAATAGTGAAAAGTAGAGATAATATTCAAAAGTTGTTATAAAAGTTAAAAAGATATATAACTTAAAAAATGTATTTAATTATTATAAACAAGGAAATATATTCTTAAATCCCAAATGTAAAAAATAGTGTGCTCTATCAGGTAAGATAATTTTTCCTAATTATAATGTCATTTTCTGCATGATTGAACAAAAGTTAATTTTTGTGATAATGCAATTAAAATTCTATATTTCATGATTCTTATTATCAAACTAAAACTTAATTTTTCTTATTGTATTAAAAAATATATTATTCCTTGTAATGGTTATAATTTATAAATATTATGAATTTTATGTGCATATATTAACTTTAAAAATAACTGTTAACTATTTTAGTTTCTTTACTATTCATTTATTCTGAAGTTGAGCTAGATTACATTTAAAGTAATTAAGGGTATTAAGTTTCAACTTTGTAACTAAGCACTAAGTGCTTTGTTGTTTTCAAAATTGGTTATGAACTATTGTGAGTTGCATTTAGTTTGTAAAAAAAAGTAAAGTTTTGAAAATTTAATATTTATTTTAAACTGTTTCTTTTGAGCAGTTTTATAATAATTCACAAAATAATTCAACATGCCATGAAATAAATAAGTTTAATTAACAGATTCTCATCTGTTAATATAACTAATGTAAATATGATTTAAATAACATAATTGTAGAAAACAAATAAATAATGTATTAAATTGTAATGATACAGTTTTATATCATTATAGACTGTTATCATATTTTAAAATATTATATCTTCCTAAATTAAAAGTTTTAAGCTGGAATAAAATTGTATAAAAATATAACAAATTCTATCTTTCATAAAACAATGAAACACATGACTTATAAAGTGTAATTTTTAATTAAATCAAATTCAATATTATTTAGTTTATAGAAATAATTATATATTAATCAATTTATTGCAGTAATGGTTTTACTTACATAGTGCCAGTAGAACTGGTTATACTTTGACTGACCACATCTACCATGAATCTTTCTGTATCATTTAATATACCTATAGACCCAGAAAATGAAGGTGCTGTGGTATTTGGCGTGGATGTAGGAGTTGGAGTAGATGATGGAGTTTTTGATGTCATGTTGTTGCTAACCATGGATGGGTTCAGGAAGGAAAGATTGTTTTCAGCTAAAGCTGCCTGTTAAGAAAATTTCAATATTTAAAGATTTTACATGTAAAGTTATTAATTTCATTTTAATAAATTTGAAAGCATAATATTATAAATTTAATATACTCTATATATTTCTTAAGTATTTTGGTACAGATAAAGTCCCCCATTAAAATGTGCTCGAAAATGTATGTACAATAAACTTGTATCATTTTCTTCTCCAGCTGTGCATACAACTTTTGTTAAGTTAAACATATTAATTATGCTATATTTCTATTATTTTTTATATCAAATATTTTGCTAACTTATATGTATATATAAAATTAATTTTTGACTGTATTTTTGAAATAAATTGAGAACACAATTTTAATAAAATTAATTTTTGAATTATTGCCAGTTTTTCAAATTTGTATGTAATAATCAATATTTTTAGATTTATTTTTAGAATTTCTCATAAGATAGTGTTACAACACTATTTAAATCTGTAAAAAACTCTTAAAGTGTGAATTTCATTAAAAATATTGAATTGATGTTTGGTGTTCATATTAAAAAAATGAATTTTGTGTATAACACTTTTTGTATTTTTTAAAGTTATAATTTTTTAAAACCAAAATTTAATTATTGAGAAGTAAACAATGGAAGATTTTAAAATAAATTTTGTAAATTTCATTACTTTTTAAATTTTATTAAAGTTTAGCTCTGGTGTTCAAAATTGTTTATTTTTATAATGATATTTAATGTTTAGGAATTATGAAGGTCATCTCAATCAACACAACACATTCTGTTATTCTGCAATCTATTTTCAGTTTAAATTTAATAGTCTTTGTTAAAGTTAAATTATTTTTCATGGCAATAATGTCTTATTTTAATGATAAATCTATTTATCTTATCAAATATAAAAACATATTCAAAAAAAAAAAATTTATTTTCCAGAATATTTAACCTATATATATAATCTCTATATTTTATTATTATTTTTAAATTAAATTTATCTTATTTATCAATTGTTATCTTATACATTTTTAAACTTACTTGTAATGACGCATTCAAACTTTCACCATAAAGGCCAGGACTTTGTTGCAATGGCGGACTTCTTATCTGTCCTTGTGACTGGCCCTGAACTAATGATGGAGTTTGAGATGAAAGCTGTAAACCACTGAAAACACATATATAAATTATAGCTTATTTATGTTGCAAATTTAATTTTCATAGTATACAAAGAAAAAAAAGTTGTTAAGATATCTTACAGCATTTTAGTAAAACTAATATACTTTGTTATTTACATAGAGAAACATTCTATAAATTTTTAATCACTTTTTTAAATGATATTTTTTATCATTTTAAAATTATAATTAGAGTTAAAATATTTATTTTTTACATTAGAAAGATAATATATATCATATTTGAAGTGTTAAATATTTTTCAAATGTTAAAAAACAAATTGAACAATAATAATGCAATAAAATTTTAATAAATCAGGGAATATTTTGGTTTTTATCACAAATAATCAAGAATTTTTATTCCCATTTATAAATAAGGATATTTATGCTGTTTTTCACTGAGTTTTTTTTCCTTTTAAACAAACACATGTTAAATCCATCCAATTTAACATTAGTTTAAAATGTCATTTCTTAAAAATAATATATTTTTTAAATGAAAAAAAAAATCATTACTAGATTACAATTGGTCATATCAGTTATAATCTGCAGCATAATCAAACATAACAATTTCAAATAATATATTTATTCAGTGTGCATTAAAATTTATCACTTTTAAAAATGTTGAGAACATTATTGGATATTATTCTTAAAGTAAAAAATATTTGGAATAATTATTAAATGTTGTTTATGTTTGCACTGTAATAATTGTATTTCTTTAATTAAAAATTTATAAATCTGATTAATTTTAATAAGTAAAATAATGCTATTAATATTCAATCACTTTTTACAAATTGGTTTTCAAATTAATTTTCTTGACTCTTTGTTTAAAAACTGAATAAACAATTTTTACTTTAGACCTATAAATAAAAAGTAAATGCATTTATTATTATTTTTAAAATGTAACACTTCAATATGATTAACTTTAATTGGTTTAATTAAAGTAAATAATGAGTGTAACTTTTATAATTCATTTTAAATGAGATCTTATTTTAAAATAAAATTTGTAAAGTTTATGCATCAAGATTAAGTTCTAAATTGGATATTTTATTTTAATTATTCAATGTTTCGTAAACATATTATTAAATATAAAATTTTTTAAATATTAAGTTATTATTCTTATAAATAATCTTGTAAAATTATATGTAATCATTATTTTGTATGTATAATTGAAAAAAATTATAATATTCAATATCAATACTTAAAATTTTGCAAGAATATATATTCTCTGTACTATATCATTATATATGCTATATTCAGAAAAAACTATGATGTCTATAAAATCAAAATACATAGAGAAAATGGCATCAAATATTTTATCATTTTTAAACATTTTTGAAAATTTTTAATGCTTTACCATCACCAGCTAGCTGACTGAAGCACTTAAGGCTTCTGCTTTTCACTCTGGGTGACCTAAGAGTGAATGCCTTTCCTTGATATGTCAGGTCCAGTCCCCCACTCAGCCACCCCTTTGCCTTTGGAGGCATGGCTGAACCCATGATGGACTCAAAAAAAGCCATCTTAATGCCCATAGGGTAAGAAAAATAAAAGAAAAATGTTGCAACCTCAGAGACAATTAATGAAAACAAACTTTTTTGTGTTAACTACATCCAAAACTAGTTTACACTTACCCTACAATTTCCAGCACATTTAGTACTCAATCACAAATGTTTTTGGTATTGTTCAAAGGCCAGCTATAACTCTTGTATTTCACCTGAAGATGGCCTCTGAACAATAACAAAAATGTTTGTGATTGAATACTCAATGTACTGGAAGTTGTATGGTAAGCATAGACTAGTTAGTATATAATAGATTCTAGTTTCTGGAATGTTTTTATAAATTATATCCAAAAGTGGTGCATTAAAATGCATAGAAATCCAAAAAGTTTATTTTATATAATGATGCTATTTCATTTTCAAAATAAATTATAATAGAAAACCAAAAAATATTGTAAAAATGTAAATTTTATATGGATAATATTAAATGTTTAAGATAATTTTATGTTAATTTTGTATATTTTAATTTTGATAACTTTTTCATTTTCATAGATTCAAGCAAAGATAAAAATGACATACATTGAAAAATCAATAAATACAACTCACTTAAAATATTGCATGTAAATTAAGGTCTCATTTAAAATTATAAATAAAAATATTCAGCAAGTTTATATCATTGTTATTTCAATAGAATTAATTTAAAATATATTTTTAATACTTCTGTAAAAAATTACACTCAATTAATAACTATTTTAAATAAAATCTTTATATTTATTTTTTAAAATATTTTTTAACTAATTACATTATAATAATTTTTCACATATAATAATTATTGCATGGCAAATTGTCTTTATTTTAATGATAATCAAGTACACAATTAAAAAAATGTCACTACTTTGCAGCTATCTCTACATATTTCTAATCTACATTTAATTCTAATTAGCCAAAAGAAATTAAAAGTTAGAACTATTATTTTTGCTACATGTCATGCAGTTTTATTATTATATATATATATATTTCTTAATATTATAAAATATTTATTCACATAAAATACATTGAATAATAAATAACAAATATTAATAATCATGCAAAAATGCAGCAAGCCATAGAGCCAAGCACAGCCAGACACAAGGTGATAGATAAAAGAAAGGCAGGCTTACTGTGTGGATAGGATGAGGTCAGACTCGGGGGATTTTCGGGGCCGACCACGGCTCAAGTGACGCCGCTTTACAAACTCATGGTCATCCACCATCCAGTAGGAGCCAAAGTCATCCTCATACCTCACAAAGCACTTATGTAGAGACAGATTGGTGCGAATTGCATTCTGTGCAGAGAAAGGATGGGGTGGAGAGGGAGTCATGGGACGGGTGCACACAAATTTGCCATGGGAACAACATAAGCAAAGTAGAATGACCATTCCAAAAGAGTAAAGAATTATATACCAGAAAAGCAGGGTCAAGACATATATAAAAATATATAACAATGCCATAAAACAGCAGAAAACATTCAAGCAACAGCAGAAATTTAAAAAAGTATTAAAAAATGAAATATTAAATATGAAATTTATGAGTGCATCCCAAAGGTAAGTAGGAGTGTAGGTAATGGGAAGGTGGGGAAGAAAAAGAGAGAAAAAGAAATAAGTATCACAAAGTGCACCACTCACAGAAACACAACACAAATAACATACCCTGAAATTCGGTCCTGGAGACGTTGGGGGCGACGTTTGTAGAATTCAAGCTCGTCAACAGTCCAGACTGCCCCCTTTACATTCTCAACACGAGTAAAACATTTGTGTAGACTTAGGTTGTGCCGAACTGCATTCTACCAAGGTAATGGAAAGGAAGTATGTAGATCTTTAAAACTGTCCCTAACAATATACCTGTCTGTTTTTAGGGTCTTTGAGGATGTAGCCAATAAATGAATTTTTTTTAACTCATTAAATTTTTCCTAATATTTGAAATTTGATAAAACTTCCTTTCATAATTTCTAACAAAAGTTGATTAAGGTTTCCCTTACAATGTTTGTTTGTTTACAATAAGATTTAATTTATGACCACTATTATATTAAGAACTTTTTCATTTATTAATATTTTTAGAATTGAGCACTATTCACATTTCTCTAATTTTAATAAAAATTTTAAATATTTTTTATTGAATCATATTTTAATGATATACTTCATAATAAATTATCTAAAACATAAAATTTTCAATTATGGATTATCAAAAAAAAAATTATACTAATGAAATGTATTTATAAAAGTAAACAAATTCATTTTCTTGTAATCTATTCAAACTTATTTCAGTTGGTTTTGTATATAATAACTAGTGTCATAACTAGGCAGGTGCAACAGGTGTGCAGGGCATGGAAGAAAGAGGGCCTCAAAATGGAACTGACAAAAAATTGTCATATATATATTGTTATAATATTTTTGTTTATAAATACAAGTGGATGATTTAGTATATTTTTTGTGTACACAAAAATTGTTTATAAACGATTGTTTTATCAACATCATCATTCCCACCCAAAATTAAAACTTTGTAGAGGAAGGATAAAAAGCTAGTTACGATGATGATGATGATGATAACATTCCATCTAAATAAAATATGAATTATCTAAAAATTTCATTTATTTTCATAATTCTTTGTTTCTGATTATCATAACTTATATAAAGTTTTCATACAGTAATTATCAAGATTTAAAATAATATTGCTTATATATGTTTTCCAAAAACTTGTTTTTAAATTTGTATATGAAAATAAATGGCCATAAATACAAATCTTATTGTATTTAAAAAGGGTTAAATAATTCATGTATGTATTTTTTGAGAAAAATTTATGTTTAATTATTTATGTTTTTTTTTTGCAATTATCTTATTATAGATTTTATTCAGCTAAGTTAAATGTAGATTTATCAGTTCGGAAATGATCTGTATTTCATCAGCAGTTCAACAAAAGGCAAATAGTTTGTTTATTACCTTTTATACATCTTTTTTATCATTAGTGTTAATACATCATAGTGTGTCATTCTACAGTGCTTGAGGTTGTATATATATAAATATATTTTTATAATATTTGAGAAGTATATACACCAATATTGGAAACTGTCTGATCCATTCAAGCTTGATTAAATTGTGTGAATTGTATGGAATTAAAATCAATGGATTTGAAAACTATTTGCAGCTAAATTACAGATATTAAACAATTTAAATGATTTGCAGTAACATCTGTATGTAATGCTGCAGTGCATTATAATGCACATGGTCACATATTTTTCAAATCCAATTATTTTAAAATATCACCTTTAAAAAAAATTGAAAATGTTTCAATTGGTTCATTTGCTTGATAACAGCTTATTGTCAGCACAACTTCATAAATTTTGTCACCGGAATGTGTCAGTGAATTCATAATGGAAAATTCTCTTATAAAATGTATACCTCTTACAACATCTTATAATTCATACATCTGATGACAATAAAGATGAGATATTTTTAAAACTACAAATTCTGTTTTATATATTTTATTATTTTTTAACATGATTTAAACAACTAAAACTAGATATTTGCTCATATTACTACTTTTTTCCATTATATATTAATTAAATGATTTTATTATTATAGTAAGCAATTTCTCCATTAAAAGAAAAAAAATGCTAAATAGATATTTAAAATAGAGAGAATTATATTAATGTATTTTATGTCTTAATTTATAATTTTTTAAATATTTTTGAAGAAAAAGCTGTCTATTCAACAACAAAACTAATAAAATTGCCAGCTATACATTTGAAATAAAACTATAGATAACCTCAGTAAAAAAAAATTCTGAAATAATAAAAATCATAAGACATAATTGCTTATTCTTGTAAATAAATTAAGCTATTAGATCTTAAAAATAAATTATTTGTGTAGAATTTTTATAGTAAACCATCACTGAGAGATTTAATAAAGCAAATACTTTTCAGATAAATTTGGAAGTTGAGATAATGATACAATTTAACATATATGCTTCATATTTGAAAATAATTAAGTTATTGGATATTTTATTTCTTTATTAGAATATAATATTTGTAATGACATGTGATGAGTTTTAAATTTTAATTATTATACTTTTATTCTAAACAGTTAAAAATTTAATACTTTGTTCTTCCCTTTGAAGTAATTGATAACTGTTAAGATCTTACAGGAATCACAAACAAGAACCAAAAAAATGCTGAACAAAGAATCTGATGAAGAAGGCAACAAAATTAATTGAACAATACAATAAAATATCCTACAATGAATTCTTTCATACAAAGGTAATGTGAATGAGGTCAAAAGAAAGTAATACAGGTAATGAGTATGTTTTGTTCCTTTAATAATATTTTGTCTCAAACAAAACCTAAACTAAGAGCAGTCACTTTATATAATCTTGGCAGTTAAGTTGAAATCTTTGATCCAATTCAGATTAAATTTTAACATTAATTGGGTTTAAAACACTTATTATTTTAATGCAGCTTGATTTATCATAAGTTGAAAATAAATGATTCTTTATATTAAATTTAAATCTTAATATCTCATCTTTATTAATTTAAAATGGATATTTTGCAATATTTTCTCCATATTAAAAAACAGAAAAAGTAATGATTTTTAAATAAACAATAATTTATTAAGTATTTTTTTCCAACTATAAATAAAATATAATAATTATTAAAAAATGAAAAAGTTAAAGCAGTATTTATAAGAATGAATAATTTAAATCAATTAAGAATATAAATATTTATTTTATAAAGTTTATCAAAAACTGGCTACTTTAATAAATGTTGATAAATTTTTAATTTGATGTTAAACAAATACTGTAATTTAAATGTATTTTCAATAAAGGAAAAAGTATAATTAATTTTTTAAAAATAGCAATCTCATTTTGAAGTATAAACAAATAAAAATTCCAAAATATCCATTTTAAGTAAATCATCAGAATTTTAACAAAATTAAAATCATTCAACACAAATAATAAATTATTAAAAATTAATTTAGTAAGCATAAACTTAGTTCTTTCTAAAACAGTGCTTAAATTCTCCATAAAAATTTAATTAGCAATTATATTTTAAATCAATTATTAAACTTTTTATTTCAAATTCAATTTACTTCATAAGGTTTATGCTTAATAATGGAGTTTTTACAAATAGAGTAGAACTTCTCTAACTTGTGAAATCTTAAAAAAAAAATTATTTCAGCTTAAAAAAATTAGTCTTTTATTTTTATTAACATTTTAACAAAAACATATTGAAAAAATAGCATTATAAAAATAATTTTACAGTAATAAAATAAAATTAATAGATAAGTAAGCTATTAAAACAATTATTAACCAAATGCCTATAAAACTTGTGATTATATGAATTCATTACAAAACATTAACATAGCAATAAATACTAAACTGAATCAATACATGTAGTTTTTGATAGAGACCACTTTTTTAAATAAAAAATAACATTTAATTATCTGTAGAGTGTTTAAAACTTATTAGTCAAAATTATTATTGCTTATAATATAATTTCTTTTTTCTTAATTTATAAAAATTTCAAATTTAAATTCAAATCTATTACATTAACTTGCAAATTTAATTTTAAATCAAAATATGGAATTTATTTTATAAATCATTACTATTATTCCTAATATTTCTCCATTTGTCAATAATTTCTTAAGAATTGAAAAATTTCAAATTTATGTTATTTCCAAATTATATATTTTAACTTTAGAAGATNACTATTATTCCTAATATTTCTCCATTTGTCAATAATTTCTTAAGAATTGAAAAATTTCAAATTTATGTTATTTCCAAATTATATATTTTAACTTTAGAAGATCAAGATTATTTATTTATTTTTTATCAATGAAAAAGACTGAAATAAACAATTTGTTCTATTAAGTAAGCTATTAAATACATAAAGTTCTAAAGGAATTTTCTATATCATTTCTAGCTAATTAACAATAACTTTTTAATAGCATCAGAAAGTTTTTATAAATTTATAGAATATGATGTAAAAGCTTTTGTAAGTAAATAAAAATTCCTAACTATATATTATGGATATAGAAAAATGTTTTGATTATATAATTTGTTAACATATTTTATAAAAATAAAATTTCTTCAGAATTGTTAAATTCTGTATTTATAGAGTAAGAATAAGCATAGATGTAGCACATTACTTAATGTCCTGATAGAATAGATTTAACTAAATTAATGTAATTTTTAAATGTTACCTGTTTTCTATATGAAATATGTTGCATTCATTTGGGCAAAATCATTATTTATCAATATTTAATGTACATTGATTTATCAATTTAACATTTTCCAATTTTGATTACATTTTTATTTTTAATAGTAATATTTAAAAGCAAACAATATTTACATAGTATTTTAAATAATTTGGCATAGTCTTTTTCATACTTATATTTGATATGATTTTCAAGTAAAATTTATACTAATTGTTTCTTTACAAAACTTTTAGACTATGAAAATAAATATTCAATGATATTTATAGCTATTAAAAGACTTTTTCAGTATTTAAAAATTACCTAATAAACTGGTCATTTTCTAAT